TGCTCACCATCTCTAGCAGTCAGGGAAATGCAAATCAAAACCACCCTAAGATACCATCTCACTCCAGTAAGATTGGCAGCCATTATGAAGTCAAACAACAACAAGTGCTGGCATGCAGTCACTTTTGACTGTGAATCCCACATATCTTTGCTTTTCTTGACTAGTCATCAGACATCTTCATCTGGGCGGATCTTTCAACTAACACATCTGCCAAGAAAAAAAAAATCACTCAGCCAGCTCCCTTAGCATGAATTTCCATAAAGCAAAATTAATTCCAAGTGAGGGCACGTCTTCTGGATGATTATTACCCAGGATGATAATTCTTATTAGGGGAGTTGGCTCATTTTGAATAAATTATAGTTCAATGCAAAAAAAAAGGATTTTTATTAGTGAATTTTCAAATAAGCTTTTTCTTAGACATAAAAGCACATTAATATGGACATTAAGCATAATTTATTTTGCATTAATGTAATATAGTCTTCTACTTGTGTCTGCAGCCTCCGCTGTATCTTGTTGAACTTTTAAACTAGTAATACTACTGAAAACTGTTTCCACACAAACAATGTGAATTTCTCAAGCCCTTTTAACATTAGAGTACTAAATTTAGAATTTCAAAATTAAACAGTATCTTTGAGATTTAGGCCAATTTTTGATTTTATAGGTGAGAAAAACATCATCAAAACTTTCAGCTACATTGTGGTTTGTGGGAACTTTCATTCTTTATCAGAAAAATCATCTCTACATAATTTTTTCTCTGGGAAAATGCATTGTTCATAGTATTAGAAAATTTTTTCCACTATATTTTCTTTAACAGGACTGTGTGTACCAAAAACTCTTATAGAATAATTATAGCAATCCTACACATGTGATTGTTGGGCTGTCACTTTTTAACCCAGAAGAAATTCTAAGTACTAAGAAGTGCTTCTCTTTGACCTCTTATACCAGTGACTTCTGTGAGTTTTTTAAAGTAGGTCACTTGCTGCATTCTGTTATACTGTAATTTATAGTTTCTGTGACTTACTTTTCTTTTGAATTTGATTTTATACTTAAAAGAATAGCTTTCTTTCTTGAGTGAATTATTAATTAACAAAACTTTTTTTGGGAATCCTTATGCTGCCTTCATTATATTTTTTAATGTTAATAGGTTTTTTGTGGGGTTTGGGGTTTTTTGTTGTTGTTGTTTCCATGTAGATATTATGAAATTTTGCTGTAATTATCTCCTTTTGTATTTCCTTATCTTTTTGCTTTAAAGGAACCCACATTTTAGGTTAAAAGGGTACAGATGGAACAGTCYTATAGTAAATTCCCACTTACACTTCCAAATGCACAGTAGGAAATWAGTTCACTTTTTATTCCAATTTCTGAAATTCTTCAGAATTTAAACCTCAACAGAAGTCCTTAAGGAGGAGCTAGAAAGAGGCATGCACTATTTTTCTCAAACAGATGGTAATTTCTGGATTTCTTTTCTACATCAAACTGAATATTTCATCTTGCTTTCTATTTAATGCACGGATGCATCTGTTGGAATTTCAGCAGCAGAGTGAATTCACCCTAACAGTAGCTCCCTTCCTAGGGTACAGTGTCTTCTCACAGACCTTATAGGTGTGGCAACTTGTTCTCAAGAGGCTGGTGTTTTTAGCTCATACAATACACCAAAGCTCCCTGTCACAGGAAAATAATATTTTGATGTTGACAAAACTCAAAAAATCTTTGTTTTACTCTTCTTTTCTGTTGTTCCTGATACCTTTGTAAAAACGTTTGCTTTTTTCCTTGGTTATTTTTTCTAAAAAATTAACTCTACCTAATCTTGCCTTCCTTTACAATGTACAGAATCAGGGTACTTCTCTTGAATCAGCTGAGGATAATAGTAGTGTGCTTGGGATGTTTATAAAATTTCCAGAATTTGACATATATACCTGGATGATCCTGGATTTTTCTGTTTTCTCTCTCATTTAACCCTGAGGGCAGTAGATAATTCCTTTCTATTTTAATTGTCTACTTCAGATTCAGAAGCCTTTTTACGAAATGTTCAAAATTAGAAGTATTTCAGATTTTAGTTTTTTAAAATTTTGGAATATTTGCATAGGTTTTACCAGATAAGAATCCCTATTCCAAAAATCTGAAATCAACACATTTGAAATCTGGAACTTTTAAATGCCGACATAAATGACATTCAAAAATTTTCAGATTCTAATTTTTGGATTAGAGATGCTTAGCCTATACGCTTGTATAGGATTTTTCAACCTTGGTTGCTATTGATATTTTCAGCTGCATGATTCTTAGTTGTTGTAGTGTTAGTGGGGTTGGAGGTAGCTTATGAATTATAGGATTCATTTACCTATAATTCATTTACCATTGCCTTTACCCACTAGTTACCAGTAGCTTCTGGCAGTTGTGACAAGCAAAAATGTCTCCAGACTTTGCCAAATATCCTCTGGATGACAAAATTGCTTTACACTGAATAGCTCCATAATATRGGAATTTGATTTTGTACTTAAAACTTTATTATACTTGATTATACTCATAGAATTTGCTCATCCATATATACTATTTCCTTTAGTAATTCCTAATATTTTAAAACACTTTTTGCAAGGAATTTTATTAAAAATTTTGGTTTATTTATTGATGTATAGCTTTTTATCTATAAAAATGAAACATTCCTTTGGGAGCAATGGTGTTATTTGGAAGTAATCCTCAATGGATAGAGTRCTGTAAGCAGTAAGGTTGTTGGTATTAACAAGAATTTATTTTTGCACTTTCACTTTGTGTAAGCCTCTGCTAGAAACTATCTAAGATATAAGAAGACAATATCCTCTGGTCTGAAAAAGTTATGGAGTCATGGGCTGCCCCATTACCTAATGGTCCCCAGAATCAGGCAGACATGAATGAGAATCACTAGGAAATGAATGAAATGCTTTATCCCTTCAAAACATAATTTCTTACTTTGAAAAATTKGTCATTTTGAGGACTAAGCAATTAGGTCGTATTTGAACAAACAATTGTTGAGTGCAGACTTCCTGACAAGCATTGGGCTAGTTCTAGATAAATAAGCCTGAGACCTTACCTGAATACCTTATGAAAAGCTATTGAAAATTGTTCCAGGAGATTCAAGATGTCAGATTAGAGGGCACTTGCAGGAGTACTTTTTTCTCAGCAAAGTGAGTGAAAGAGGGAATTCACTGAAATTCAGYATCAGACAGTCTCTTTAGAGACTCAGAAATGCAGGTGCATTGAGCCAAGAACAAGAAGCCTAGTCAACAGCATACCCCATGGGTTCACCACAAAGGGGAATGATAATACAAACAGAGAGAAACACAACAGACAAATGTGGCACAGAAGAAC